ACCTTCAGGGAGTTAACACCATCAATGAAAAGAGCCAGCGGTAAGTCTGCCTCTCCTGCCTTGGCAAGGAAGTCTCAGGTGGGAGAAAACCCCTGCGTCGTTACGAGTGACTGTAGCAATGTTTCTTCCAGCTTGTTTTTTAGTATTTTTTTCTTCTAAATTTTGTCTTCTTCTCATTCTTTCTCCCTCACGTGGTCATATCTAAATGTCTTTACCTGACTTACCAGCAGACATGGAACCCAACTTTCCTCTGTCACAAGGCAGTGATTGTAAGTGGTGGTGATGGCCAAGGTGGTAAGAAGCATGCGGGGGAAAAAAACAAAAAAACTAATGAATGTGCCAATATCTAGGAAATAAGAATGCGTAGTGCCTTTTTTTCAAGACCAAAAAATGGCTGATCTGTTTGGGTGCCTGCAAGCGGGCTGATGCCTCCAGGCTCTGCTTTGTGTGGAGGACTTGGAAAGTTGTGAGGCTCGAAAGGGTGAATTTTCAAATGTTTGCTTTGTTGTGCTGATGTGTTAAGGCAAAATCAAGGGGAACATGGTGACCGGCATGAAGGTAATTCCTATGATTGGCAAGTTCCTTAATGCGCAGGAGCTCTTCTACCTCCCTGTCGTATTACAGCATTTGAATTTGGTTGTTTTCACAGCTTATAAGATTATTGTTTTAATCCTTCCTTGAAAATCCTTGGCCATTCATGCAGCTGCTGAATGAAGCCTTTTGCTTGCAAGTCAGCTCAGTGCTCCAAGAGGCCCCCGCAGATCCATGCCCCTTCTGCGAACAGTTCTCCAGATTCGATTCAGAATTTGTCTTCTTGTGACAGAGCTTCTCCATCTCAAAGGGAAACCTGGGCTCTAATCCTTCAATTGTTGAAATTCCTATGTTTTTGACATTTTTCGCAAGTCTTGTGCAGAATTCCAGCTTGCAGGAATCATCCTCCCCTATTTTGAAGCTTCAGAGGTGACATTCCAGCTACTATGGCTGCACAGCTTTCTTTAAAGGTGATGCAAGGCGAAACCTTCTCCATGCAGAGATCTTCACATGGAGATAAGAGGAGCCCTGCAGCTGGAAACGTTGCTGTTGGGATTCTGTGACTCCGTGGCTGTGCGGCCACGGTAGGCTGAAGGGTAATGATGAGGAGGTTGATACTGGGAGGAAGCTCAGATCTGATATTAGTGCACAGACCCATCCTGCTTAATTCTTCTCAATGCACATATCCAACCCCAGAGGTGTGTTTTGTGGTGGGTACGTCCAGCAGTGTTTTCCTAGCCTGGATCATTTCCCTTACCTTAGCAAGGGGCCATCACTAGTGCTTTCTGTAAAGGCAGGGAAATTCCTTCTGTCACATCAGAATAGCAGGGAGCAAGATAAATATATTTGTTTACTACTTGCTGTGGAGTTCAGGCTATGGTCAGCTGTATTTATTTGGCTTAAAAACAAGCCAGCATAGCAAACAAATTCCCTTAAATGTACAGGAGATCAAGGGTAACAACTGTTGTGGTTTTCTTCGTCCATCCTCAGCAGCTGTACCCTAACAACTGGTTCTTCTCAGAGTCAGGACAATTATTCCTCAGACAGGGCTGACACATTTGAGTGATTGATGGAGAACACATTTATGGAGGCCCCTACAAGGAGTCAGTTTCTGCTGGTGTGTCCTCAGCAGAATACTCCATGGTCCCCAAATCTCTAAGCCCCAGGAGTGCAATCCAGAACGGGATATCTCATCAAGATCTTTCTCATGCAGAAAGCACTTTGGGACTAGGCACGCAATTTTAGCATTGCTCACTGCCAGCGGCCTTAGTCTGGAGGCGCATGGCTTCAGGAAAAGTAGGTCTAAGTGACACTTACGAATTAGTAAGGGGTAGTGATGGAGAGGTGGCACATGAAAAGAGGAATTGCTTGTAAACTGATGCTTTTTAAGTATCCTTCTGTTCAGAGGTGCGCTGTGGCTTCTCGATACATCCCAACAGATCAGCCAAGGAGCAGTTTGGAGCGCTGAGTTAACCAGCAGCATTTTCTTCCCAAGTGCTCTTGGCATTGCGTGGCCACTGCTAAGCCTGCGCCTCTCCGAGCGCCGCGATGGCCTCGGGACACCCTTCCACGAGCACATCTGAGGCTTCCCGGTGGAAGCGGCCAAGGAAGGCTCAGTGAGCAAGGCCCAACTCCCAGATCTCCTCTGAAGGAAGTGCCCATGTGGTCGCCACGTGCCGTGAGGGCAGCGGGCCTCAGGCAGACGGCAGCAGGGCGGCCGGCCTTCAGGTCGCCCTCGGTGGCCACCACCTGATTAAACCCCGCCACCGCCAACCAAGCGCTCGCGCAGCAGAAGCCGTTTGCTCTTCGCTGATGTCTTCTGATGAGCGCAAAAAGGCTGCTGCTAACCCATGTGGCTGGCTGGTCCTTTCAGTGACCAAACGGGCCCTGTAAGTCCATCTTCACCCTAGAGTGCCTGGTAGAAGGCCCATTCTCTCTCTTAGTCCAACTGCATGGACTTTCTAGGGTTTTCTCCTCTTTAATCTTCTTTGGAATCCATAGTACCACATCCTGTCCAGAGGCAAACTGTGCGTTACCATCACCTGGGGTTAATTATGGGGTTGCACTTTCAGAAAGTGGCTACTGAGGTTTAGTGGTCCTGGCCAACCTGTGATTTTTTTTTTCCCCCTCCCAGCAAGTAGGAATCTTTTGACAGCTGGGACTTTTATTGTAAGGGCAAAGAAGGTGGAATGGTGAGTCGTGAAACTGGATATTTAAAGATAGGTGCTGAACTAAATTAGCTATTAAACTATAAACTTCCTTTTCGGTCTTAATTTTTTCTTTCGATCTGGCCATGATGCTAGTTCCTCTTTCTCTAGATAAGGGCTTTAAGGTCTGCTTTACTGGGAGACCTCAGAAGACAGCGATGCCTGCCTGAGACCCTGGTTAAATGACCGTGTCCTTCAGAACCCACCCAGGAGGCTACTTTGCTGCTCTCTTCTATGTGTCGAATCTCTTGCTACTCCTTTTTCTTTTGCCTGAAATACTTCTGGTCACTTGGCAGACCCCATGTCCCACTTGGACCTGCTGTTATTTCGTACAGCTATTTCTGGAAAAGCCCCCAAGATATCGCAGTCAGGGCAGAGGCTTTGCCTAAGCCACCCACATCGGAGGGATGCTCTGCAAGTAGCCACAGACCCAAGTTGTCCGTCGGAAAGAACTGGATATTTTTATTCTGCTGCTGATAGGCAGATCTTTTTATGCATATCTGATTTCGAAAACATGATTAACTAGCTGATTGCTTTCCGTGTTGTGTCTGGCATTGTGAACTTGTCATGTGGGAGTGAATGACTAGTGAAGAGAATAAACTCATGATCATCATTTGCCATTGAATTATTTTCTAATCTGCCAGTTTCGAAGCTTTGGGTGATTCTTAAATGCTCTCTGCACTTTATGTTGTCGAAAAAGAAAAACTATCTTTTGTGCATCGGCGTCGGCTGGAACGGCAGGATGGGCATTCGGCACAGCAGGCTCTCCAGCCCGAGCTCCTTCCTAGACAAAGATGGAATATTCGTTAATTCCACCAACAGCAAGCTGCTGGAGAGGGCCCATGGCATTCTCATGTTAGTATGGAAGGATTGGACTTAACGTATATTCTGATATATGTTAGAGTATAATAAATGGCATTGGTATCAATAGGGATGTAAATAGCTGGAATAAATGAATATATTTCTAGCTAAAAAAGAAAAATCTGAGCTCCAGATGGACTAGGATATTGCAAGGTTGGGTCAAAGCAACCTCGGTAGGTTCTGAGCGTCTGATTTATTCGGTCTCTTATCATTCATTTGCAATGACAGGTCCAGGGAAGTGAGGGAGGGAAGGAATCTTCCGGTCCAGCCAGTCTCCAGATATAACATGGATGTTATGCAGTAACATTTTTTTAACGTGACATTAAAGTTTCCGTTGTGAATTAAATGTGGAAATGACATCAGTGAGTCATGCTGCAGCCTCATCCCAAACTGCAGAAGCCCTTGCCGGAGCGCTCGGAGTTAACGTGTGCCGCTGGGAAGCAGGGTGGTTATCCGTTCTGCAGAGCCGCTTCCGCATTTATCCCATCCCTGCCAATGTGACCACTCGTTTTAATCGAATACCTTCCTTTTAAACATGTACAGCTCAATTGGTAAGGCTGCTTTGCAGAACGCAGTAGGAAGGTAGTTGCAGAGCAGACCGTAGTCTATAAACCATAGTAAGCAGCTGCTTACGGTGATTTTTTTGAAGGAATTATTTCATGAATTCCTGATGTGTCCTTTTTTCTGGACCTTGTCCTTTGACTTAGGTATTTCTGGGACTAACGCAAAAGAGACTGAATTCTTAACAGCCAAAGTTGAGCTGTCCTATCAGTTCCAGTCTGTGATCGTATGCTTGGAATAATACGGCTGTTTCTTATCTCCCCAGGCGAAATAAGAACTTCAAAGCCAAACCAAATCTCCCAAAGGTGAGAGACAAGTAACATTTTTACCTCTTCTGCTACTGGCTTAAATCCATAGGTACAACACTGAAATGCTGATGCGTGTGGAAGGAAATTGCTTGTTTCTAGTGCAAAACCTCTGGCAAATCAGCTCCATTTGGGGCTCTTTTTTTGTAAAAACCAAAGAATTGCAGAATTGCAGAGTGGTACCAGTGATTTGTCCTGGGGGAGGGCAGCATGAGCACTTGCATCCTCCTCTCTTTGTTGAACTTTGACAATTAAATTTCCAAGCTGAAATAAGTGAATAGGTTATGCAAGATGACCAGTATTTGACAGATGGACAGTGATTTCCAGGATGTTTACCTGGAAACTTTGGAATATCCTTCCATCCTGGCCACATTTATTATTTTCCAAGACACAGCATGCAAAGAGATTGGTGCATAATGAGAACGATGATGTTTCCTGTGGTCATTGTTGATACTGCTTCAACATCTGGCTGATGCTGCCTGACTTCTGATAATAATTTTATTTGCTTAAAACTGACCAGCGTGATATAAATTGGGGGAAGAAACGGTGCTTTCTTGCTGTGTAGCTTCATAACTTCCCACTGGGAAGAGCTGCTCTGTGCCACGGCCTTTTCCCAGCTTTGGGAGCACAACAGTGGTGCACATCCACAGTGGCAAAAGAGCAGGGGCTCGGGTAACGGCAGAGAGAGGGGAGCAGATGCTGGTCTTCACCAGGGAGATGTAGGCACCCGCACTCCATTTCCTGCCCAAAATGAAGTGATCTTTGGAAAGACAGCAGCGGGTGAACTACAGGTCACTCAGGCAGCTCAGGCAGGCTTTGTAGCTTCTGTACATGTGTTTTCCAAGTGAACCAAATTCTCCCTTGGAGCATCTCATCACCAGATGCTCACTCTTCCCAAATCAAAGCCGAGATGCTTGGGTTCTGCTGGCGAGCACGTGTTTTCCATTTACCACTTCCTATTCACGTGAGCCCAGCCCTGGGGCCCACCACTTATGTCTGATAGCTCATTTTTTGCATGTGTGTAGTGATTTATTTGCCGTGGTCGGAGGTGATTGGTACCATTTCATCAACATAATCAAGAACAGGGCATCTCCCCTGTGGTGCTCATGTTGGCATGAGCTGCACGTTTGTGGGTAGCAGAGCCAACCTCTATGTGGTCCAGGATCCCCTTGGCAAGTCCTCAGAGGCCATGGGAAGCTTGAGGGAACACGATCCAGTGGATCTGGCTCTGATGAAAATGGAGAAGAGTTAATTCATCGTTCCTTGACATTTGCCATTGAGATTGAATAGTGATGACCCTAAGGAAGCCCTGCAGAAGAGAGGGGATTTAAAGATGAGAGGCAAAGGGTAGCATGGCAAGGAGGTCGTCATCTTGTTGTGTTTGCAAAGACCAAAATAAGCTGTTTTTTTTCTGCAGCATATGCTGGATGTGAAATCCCTCAAGCACCTGACAAACCTGACGCTGCACGATCGCATTACAAAGTCCTTGCTCCATCTCCACAAGAAGAAGAAACCACCCAGCATCAGCGCCCAGTTTCAGGTAACTGTGTGTCAGGTTTGTTCTCGGGTATTAGGACCAAGAGAAATTTTTAGCGATTTAAAAGCACATTTCTTGGTACTTGCCTACACATGAGCGCATGGAGAAGAGCACCTGCAGGCACTGTGCTGTCCTATCTTCAGCATCATGTAAGACCTGAATCCAACTGAGGATGCAGCTCGGATAAGCTATGAGGGAATGCAGAAACCTCCAGGTATTCAAGTGATGTAAAATAGGGAGGCACAACCTTTGGATGTCGTAAGTAGGGAGAGGATTTCCTAAAACAGGAGAAGGAGGAGCTGAAGAACGGTAACATTTCCAGTTAGAGGTGTTCTATGAAGGACAGTGGTGGGGAAAAAGGCCGTTAACTCAGTTATCTGTCAGGGTGGGCAGAGCAGCAGGCAAAATGCTGTATGGGACTTGGCAGAGGGATGAATTGATTCTGTTCTCTGCCCTGTCTGTGATTGTTCTTCTTTTAAGTGCCTTTGACGTGTGACATATCTAATCAGGTGTAGTTATTTATACAGCACATATCTCTCCGCGTGTGCATGGTACCTTGCTTTGTGCAAAGCTTGTGCTTTGGTACCTCACTTTCAGAGCAACCATATCAAGGCATTTTCTCTGCGGGGTTCATAAAGAGTAAAACCTGGAAATGCTGGCATTTTGAAGTGTGCTTACTTGCATTCCGTGTCAGAAATTCAGTCCGGTTTTGTTGTTGGTTAGACTCGGCATTTTAAACAATGCCAAAAGGTCAAAATCTTGCAGCATTATCTCAAAGCAGGCACAGGGATCCTGCAAAGGGCTCGATACTGGCATCTGCTGCCTTGTCTCTGTGCTCCTACCCTTGCTTGCGAGTAGCTGCAGCTCTAATAATTCACCAAAATGTACATCAGGGCTTGGAAATGGCCAGAGGGCTTGCAGTGTACGGCATGCTCGAGCCTGTGGTAACATTAGAAAGCTACATTAGAAAGCTAAAATGAGTTTCAGAGAAAGTCTGTTGTCTTCCTTGCTTTGCGTTTTGGGAGAAGTGATTCATTTTTAGGAAGACTCCATGCATAAGTCTGGATAAGAGTAAGTAATTAAATATATACACATGAACGTATACGTATATATGTGTGCGTGTATATATAATTTGCAGAATGTGCATCTGCATATATATTGAGCTCAGTCTAGCCTGATGGTATGCTGGTTAAAATATAACTTCAACAGAGTGTCATTAATCCAGCACCATGGAGTGCTCGAAATGTAACAAGTCTTGGAATGAAATGCATTCCTGAAACCTATTCATCCTCCAATTGAAAGTCTAGAAAGTGTCCCCATGCATGGTTGACATTCTTATGTATGTCACAGCCTACAAAAATAAGCGGCAAAAAGAAAAGATCTCTGGGCATTTTAAGATTTCCTTGTATATCCCCATGCAGCAAAGCTGCTTATTCAGAGGCCGAGTGGGTGCCTTACGGTTTCCGAAGCGATGACTGGCACCGTGGGAGCGATGCCCGGCTGCGTCCGTGCCACGTCCTCCGGAATCAACAGAGCCGCGTTCAAGGCAGAGACGGGCCGGCCGCACACTGGCTCCTTGTGCTGCTGCACTGCCCCGCTTTCGTTCCTCGCTCGTACGAGAGAGGCGTTTTCTCGGGAGAGCAGCCGAGATGGCTTTTCATCAGGAGCCCGCTAATAAAACCGCGGTGCGTGGAATTGGGTCACGGGCAGGAAATGCAGCCGTTTCCTCTTGTGCATTTTTTGCTGATAAATATCATGCCAGCGCCGGAGCCGGGAGCCTCCAGCCGTTCTGCCTCGCGTTGATTTTACATATTCCCAAAATTATTGCAACCTACGGGCAAATATCCCCAAAAGTAAGACGCGTTTAGGCAGTCAGCTGGTAGAGGCAAGATTAAAAGGGGGAATGCTGCTGGCCTTAGTGCTTAGAGTCGTGGCCACCTTTATTAGGGGACGCCTGCTTCCTCAGCTGCAAATTACCCTGCCGGAAGCCGAACCGAAGCGTGGAGATTCGTGTGCCTGCAGGTGATGCTCAGAGGAGAAGGAGCTTGGGATAATGCAGAGATGCTGAATCTCATGCTGGAAGGATGAGTAAAAGTGGCGAAAGAGCCTGTGGCTGTGAAGCTTTCCAGGCAGAGGGTGAAGAAGAGTTAATCCAGTGGTTACATGTGCTTTACGGATTCCTGATGATAAGGCCCTAGCAGATGGGATGTGTGTGTGTGTAGGAACCATCTGCCAGGCGCAGAATGTTGATAGCTGTTGGTGATGGCAAGTGCTGCGCCAGCATCCCCTTTGCTGTAGCCACACTTCATGCGAGGCTCCTGAAATCCTGAATCTCCCCACGCCTGGAGCCGTTCGGGAGCCTTGAACATCCCGGCGGCCGCCGCTTGGCAGAAGGACCATGTGGTTCCCCCCTTCTCCGCAGCTGCACGCCGCGAGGTTTAGCCCTGGTGTCCAGAAACATGAAAGGTTTCCCACAAAGATGTCTTCAAAGTGATCAGAAGACAAATAACAGGCCTTCTCCGTGCAGGATTTTGGATGGAGTGTTGCTTTCTCTTATTACGCTTACGCTTGGCTGCGTGGGAGGTCTGTGGGCTGGAGGCAGCCCTTGGGATGGCATCCTACTGCAGCTGCTCTAAACGGAGGTGACACCAGTGCCTCTATGCCGTGCGTTTCAGTAATTATGCAGAAATTAGGGGAAATACTGCTGCTGTTAAACGCATGGGATCATTTTTGACAGAGGAAAATTGTTTCTTTGTGTTTAAGGAACATCAATGACCGTACTGTATTGCACAGACGTTCGGTAGATGACTATCTTGGAGCTCCTGCTCAAATCTATAAATGGATCGTTGGTGTGAACTAGGGAATGACATTTGGCTCCAGCGGATGATGAGAAGAGGTTGGAGACTGGGGTCTATCTCAATGTGCAGTTAAAACGCATGATGTACTGCTATGAACCTCGTTTCGGCAGGAGCCTTAATCAAGCCAAATCACATTCAGCTGTTTTTTTTAGAGGCAAAGCAGTAACAGCTGAGTTGTAAAGCGTCTGAAACGCTCGTTTTGGGGAACAGGTTCCTACCTGCTTCGTTTGTTCATTGTTTCTTCAGTTCATTTCTGTAAACAGTGCCCGGATTCTCCCTGTGCTCCCGACTGTTTCCCTGTTTTAGACGCGCTCTCTCTTGCAGGCATCGCTCAACAAGCTGATGGAGACGCTTGGCCAGGCAGAGCCCTATTTTGTCAAGTGCATTCGCTCTAATGCCGAGAAGGTAAGTGCCAACCTCGCAGTGGCTGTCACTTCAGCAGCTCATGGCCACGTGCCCTACAGTTTTATCCAGCGCCCGGGTGTTGTCCTGTCTTACCACAGTCCAGTTAGGTTTTGGGCGTTTTGGAAAGCTCCTCCTGCAGCACAGCCCCAGGATCAGTGAGAAAATATTGAAGGGACCAATTGGAACTGCTCTTCCCTTCCCTATGTCCTGCTTGAAATCTTGGAAGGGTTTTATAAATATGAACATTTTTACACCGAGTTGGAAAGAAAAGAGAGGCTGCAGCACTGAACTGGGTTTAAACACTGCTCTTTCAATTGTGTACCATGTCATTTGGACAGAGAATTGTTCTTGGTAAAGTATCTTGGCTTTTCCTGTAGTTGGTAGAAATAAGCATATGAAAACACTTTAATAGACAGGCCAGTGAATCTGTTTGTGTCGTTACCGAGCCCTAAAATGCCTTAATTTAGGTAGAATATTTTTTCTGCCTGTAAAAGCAGGTTCTTTCAGAGTAAACGTCTTTATTCTGACTGACTCAGTGATACTTAGGCTTTCATTAATATGATTTTTAAGGATGGAGCTGTCTCAGGGCCTAGGAACCTATAGTTTAAAAATAAAGTCATTGTGATGCTTCCTGATGGTAAATCCATTGGAATTTTCCCCAGCCATTTCAAAAAGAAAGATGAAGCTTTAGATCTCGTAGATATTTCCTTGCTCGCTCTCTTGCTGTGCAAGTTTTTATCTAGCTGTTTTATATCTAGCTTGAGTGCAGTTTTATATCTAGGGGGATTAGTAGAAAAGTCATCTCCATCTGATGTCTACTCAGAAAAAAAAACAGGAGTCAACCTTGGTGCTTGGGAAGCCGCGTTGCCTCTCAGCATATGGATGTGACGCCAGATGTGTTGCATGTGCTGGGTTAATTTACCCCATCCGTGTACTCAAAAGTGGTTGGAACAAAGGAAATATTGGCTCACTGTTGGCCTGTTTGTTTCCCTTTCAGCTCCCGCTGGGGTTCAGCGACAGTCTGGTGCTCAGGCAGCTGCGGTACACGGGAATGCTGGAGACAGTGCGGATTCGCCAGTCAGGATACAGCTGCAAATACTCCTTCCAGGTTGGATAAAATGTTTTCAGTCTTTAGCCATCTTTACCATGAGTGTCACGGTCATCTGAGCGGGGTTAGCTTGCAAGCACATCTCATTTTTTTAACAAGGGAATCAATTTATCACTTGTGCAAGAGATATGGCTACAACTGGGCACAGAGTAATCACACACTGTGCTGCTACACCTGATTTCTAGCATGCTCTTCTAGACCTAGACAAGGACTAGGCACCCCTCTGCAGGTAACGTGACGTTTTTTAAGTGCAGATATATTTTTTCACAATGTGTTCTTCCTTCTTTTTGCACAAAACTGCTTTGGGAAAATCCTCCTGAGGGTGAGCCAGGCAGGTGACAAGATCCCGTCTCTTCAGCTCAAGCATCCTGTTGATCCCTGAGATACCTTTCTTATCTTTTTGGCCCTCATTTATTTTGTTTCCATGGGGATGGCACTTGTCCCATTGTGTCAGTGCTGCCTGCACCTCCACTGGAGGTTGGTAGGGTCCTTCTAAAATTTGAGCTTTGGGGTAAATCCTATTTTTTGTATCTTTCTAATCTTCCATGTTTTTGAGGGGTTTTGTGCGTATGTCTGTTCATTCATGGTTTGCTGTTCCCCAATGGTTTCCTCCTGGCACCTGCTTTTGGCCAGATGGCAAGTCCTGCACAGCAGCTGGTTAGAAGAAAAGAATGCTCAGGTTTTTTTTTTTTTTCCCAGAGAGCAGAAATCCCGTTTTTCCCCAAGAGGTTCTCTCCACCGGTACCTCTGCACTTTGCATTATTGCAGCAGTCCTGCATGAAACAGCCTCTTGCCTGGCGTGCTGTGCAGGAGCTGGTAGCCCCCTTCTGTAGTGACCATATCTGAGGGGTTTTTTAGTGTTTTCACTCAGAATTACCTCGCTCGGGCAGGCTCCTCCCACACTGGAAGACGTTCGGTTGTTTCTCTGCTTTGATAGACTTTCCGTGCAACCTTGAACCTCAAATGGCTCCAACAGAGGAAACTGCTTCTTCCCGCCTTCTGCTCGCTTGGCAAATCCTATTTCACATGCCTGGTGGAGCAACTCAGCTATTTACATAAGAAATTGGCCCTGCAATGCCCACTTAACCAAGTCATGGTGTTTTTGGTTTTTTTTTTTTTCCCCCCCAGGATTTCGTCAACCATTTCCATGTCCTCTTGCCACAAGGAATCAGCCCATCCAAACCCAATATCCATGATTTCTTCCGGAAAATAAAACTCGATCCAGACAATTATCAAGTTGGAAGGACAATGGTAAATGCTTTTCCTCATCTCATGCATACGTTTAAGATATTCCACTTCTTCACTGATGTATCAGCTGCCTCAGCTTGTTGTTATGACAGCTCTTGTCTTCCCAGAAGGGAAAAGTAGAGGTTGCTGTGATTTATGGACTGATGTTCAACGTTGACAGTCCCAATTCATAGTTGCTGGTTGCTGATGAAATTCCATTAAGTTGTAGACTAAAGTTGGCTGCTAAACTTTCCCCTGGGCCTTCGGGATGCAGCAGCCTGTGGTGTTAAATGGCTTGCCTCGCGGTCCAAGAAGAGCGATGCTGGTTTTCACAGAATCACAGAATGGTTGAGGTTGGAAGGGAGCTCTAGAGATCACCTCGCCCACTTTTCCCTGCTAACTTATTTGATTTTGGGGACAGGTTTTTGTGAAGGAACGGGAGCGGCAGCTCTTGCAGGACCTGCTTCATCAGGAGGTGCTCCGGAGGATCACGCTGCTGCAGCGCTGGTTCCGCAGCCTGCTCTGCAGGCGGCAGTTCCTCAGCTTGCGCCAAGCTGCCCTGCTCCTACAGGTAGGCGGTGGCATGTGATGACACCGAGACCCCTCGTTGCAATCCGTATCTTCCAACGCTTCCAGCTCGGTCTGTAGCTGAGTGGTTGGAATGGAGCTCTCCTCTCGGAGGAGCTCGGCGCTCAGCTCCCAGCGCGGCAACCCCACGGGCTCGGGAGGGACAGAGTGGGAAGGGCTGTGTACAGGCCGGCGCGCCCCGGCTTTGTCGCCGTCGACGCTCCGGGCACCTCGCTCACTCCTGCTGTGTTTGCAGCGGTCCTGGCGCGGCTATCGGAGCCGGAAGCGAGGCGAGGCGGCCCCGGACCCTCTGGCCCTGGGCAAAGCGGCGCTCGTCCTCCAGGCCCACTGGCGGGGCTTCGTGGAGCGGCGGCGCTTGCTGCACATGCACGTGGCGGCCCAGCTCATCGTCATCGGCCTGCAAGCGGCCTGCAGGGGCTACTTGGCGCGGCAAAGGTAACGTGGCGTGCGTGGAGCCGGGTTTATTGGTGGGAATTCTGGCAACGCTCGCGGCCCCACAACTTTCTCATGGCCCTTCTTGGGATTCCTGAGGCCATCGTGACCTGCCCTGATCCTTCGCTGGGGCGCGCTCTCCAAGCAACCAATTCAGAACTTCCTACTCTGGGGCTAAGCAGAGCCTATTTCAGGTTAGGGCACGTAGGCAGGGGAGAGTTGAGGTCATAAATACTCGGGAGGGGTTTATTTTTCCCCCTTGGCAGCAGTGCCTGTTTAAGTAGCTTATTTTTAGCTCGGATCGGCTCCCCCGGCCAGGCCCGGGGGTCCC